AGGTAGGGAAAGAGGAACAGGTGAGCCTCTTATGGCTGGCAGGCCCTGCTTCAAGGCTCTTGGACTTGGCTTTGAACAGGACAAAGCCAATGATGAAAGGGTTGAAAGGGTGTGTAGCCTGCGGTCAGGACCTACACAGGGGCACCCAACCCCATGCAGCAGGGAGCAGAGGAAGGGGAACTCCTCTAAGTTCCCATCTCTCAAGCTCACAGTCCCTTTAGCCACACAGAGGAAACTGACCTTTGGGCCATTTACTTTCCATTTTGGTTAATGAGGTTGAGGTGGGCACCCTGGCAACTCTTGCTCAAAAGGCAGCATTCAGGTGTGGAGGTGGGTGGAAGGCACAGAGCGTTCCCAATGCTAACATCCTAGCTTTTTTCTGTGTCCCTATCCATTTAATCATTTTGGTGTTCTGTTGGTGGCCAAGCCTCAGCCCAGGAGTCCGGAGAGGAGGCTGGAGGGGAGGGGGTCTTTGGGGGTGGGTGTTTTGTGGGTCCATGTTTCTAATCCTCTTCTTCCCTTAGGAAGAAGCTTAAGCTGCTGATGTTGGGCCCATTCCAATATGCGTTCTTCAAGATCTCGCTGGGCCTCGTGGGCCTGTTTCTCATCCCTGATGGCATCTATGATGCAGCAGACGTAAGCCAGGAGGAAGGGGCAGCAACGTCAAAGACACATTTAGTACCTCTGGGATCCAGGAGGAGGAGTAGTCCGAGCCTACAGTCCGGATACAAGACCCCAGGGGCAGGGTGGTCATGGAAAGGTAGAGGCTCAGGGACTCTGATGAGGAGAGACAGGTCTGGTACAGGCCAAGGCTTTGGGGCTTTTTTTAAAAATCGACTTTTGCACCATGGCAGGAGGGAAATTAAAGGAGGAGAAAAGGGCTTGCCTTCCTCTCTGCTAGTTTCTGGTCTCTCACCAGATTTCCGAGAGGAGCACAGCACTATGGATCAACACTTTCCTCGGTGTGTCCACCCTGTTGGCTCTCTGGGCCCTGGGCATCATTTTCCGTCAGGCCAGGCTGCACTTGCGTGAGCAGAACATGGGAGCCAAATTTGCTCTGTTCCAGGTAAGTACACTCTGGGAGAGAAAGGTGGTTTAATAATAAAGCTACAAATGATTGGGATTAGGTGAGACTAATAAAGGCTAAAATGAAATCTGGGAATCTGTCTCTTAAGCCTGGGTTTCCCATGAGATTTAGAAAATGGTTCTCACCCTTCCAACCTTTTGCCTTTCTGGCTGTAACAGTTTCCCAGGACTGCCATAACAAAACACTGCCAACTGGGTGGCTCACAACACTAATTTATGGTCTCACCGTTTTGGAGGCGGAAGTCCAAAATCAAGGAGTTAGCAGGGCTGCGTGCCTCTTTCTAGTGTCTGGTGTGGCCAGCAATTCTTGGTCACAGCTGCATCACTCCAGTGTCTGCTTTCATTGCCACATGGCCTTCTCTTTACATGTGTCTGTATCTCAGTCTCTTTTTATTTAAGATTTATTTCTTTATTCATTTGAAAGTCAGAGTTAGAGAAGGAGGGAGAGAGAGAGAGGGAGGGAGGGAAGGAGGGAGGGAGGGAGAGAAAATCTTCAATTCACTGGTTCACTTCCCAGATGGCTGCAATGGTCTGGGCTAGGCCAGGTCAAAGCCAGGAACCAGGAGTTCCATCTGAGTCTCCCATGTGGGTGGCTGGGGCCCAAACACTTGGGCCACCTTCAGCTGCTTTTCTCAGGCCATTAGCAGGGAGCTGGATTGGAAGTGGAGCAGCTGGGACATAAACTGGAGCCCATATGGGATGCCAGTGTTGCAGGTGGCAGCTTTACCAACTATGCCACAAGGCCAGCTCCTCCTCTCCTATTCTTGTATCAGTCATGTTGGATTAAAGGCCCTCCCACTATAATCTTTGCAATGACCCTGTTTCTAGATAAGGTCACATTCTGAGGTAATGGGGGGTCAGAACTTTGGCATGTCTTTTGGGGGGACATAATTCAACCTATTATGTATATTATCAAGCTATCTATTACTTCCCAAAGTCCTATAATCCATTAAGACTAGCAGCAGCAGCAGCACATCACAACTGCTATTCTCTACCTGCACCATGTGCTAGGAATTTTTATATAACACAAATTTTCACAATACTCTCAGGAATCATTACTATTCCAATTCTACAAAGATCTAGTTCTACAAAGATTCTACTGAGATCCAGAGAGGTTATAAGGCTTGCTCAGTGGCACAAAAGGGATGGGGCTAGAATTTAAACCCAGGGCTAACTTCCAAACTAACATTCCTTCTTCAGGTCACTGTCCCTTCACCTTCACACTTCTGGAAATTCTCCCCCAGGCACACTTGGTCACCGTATACACTTTGTGTTCTCTGTACCCAAAGACGACTTAGCTTCCAAATGCAATGACTCCAAAACCATTTTTCCTTCTCTGTTCTTTCTGTCTCATTGCTGGGCCCGTTTACTCCCCAGACATAATGAGTGCTTTACAATCAGAGAGGTTTTGCATACATTCTCATTAGATCTGAGCACATGTGAATTTCTACGCACATCTCCATATACTTTCCTCCTGCTCTGTCTTTCGTCTCCTTCATTGTCATTTTGTGGTGCTCTCCATCTTTGTCCTAGTCTTCAACTTCTTTCATTGTGGTGAAATTCACACAACATAAAATTTACCATCTCCATGATTCTTTAAGTGAACATTCACATTACTGTGCAAACATCACCACCACCCATCTCTGGAATTTTTTCAAGTTCCCCAACTGACATTCTGTACCTATTAAACACTCATTCACCATTGCTCCTTCCTCCTATAGCCCCAGGCATGAGTTTTCAAATGGCGTCTTTAGAAAAAAATATTTATTTATTTGGGAGGGAGGGACAGAGGTAAAGAGATGGAGAGAGGCAAAAAGGGGAAGAGAGATGGAGGAAGAGAGAGAGGGGGAATCAGAAGGGGAAAAGAGAGAGTATGAGTTTCCACCCACTGATTCACCCCCATGCCTTCAATGGCCTAGGGCTGGACCAGAAATTAAGCCAGGTACTAGGAAATCAATCCAGGAACCCAATTACTTGAGCCATCATCATTGCCTCCCTGGGTCTCATCAGCAGGAAGTTGGAGTCAGGTACCAGAGCTGGGTCTCAACCCAGGCACTCCAATGTGGGACACGGGCATCTGAAGCACTAGACTAAATGCCTGCTCCTCAAAGGCCATAGGTCATTTTAATGGCTAACTGTCCATCATCCTAGGAGCAAGGATCTCTTGGGTACTTGAACTAGACTGAATTATTCTTCTGTCATCATTTACCTTTCTCATCTATTAACTGCTTATTAGTAGCCATGGCTAAGAGATGGAAATAAAAAGCCTCAATAAAATATTGTGTAGGTAGAAGATTATAATTTGCCTAAAGATTAAAACACCAAAATTTTTAACTAACTGCACACATAATGGAGGCCAAATCTGCAGTGAAAGAAGGCCCAGCAGTGGGCTAGCTGGCCTCAGTACCATGGATGGCAGCTCCCAACCCACCTCTCTTTTTTGTTCCACAGACACTTCTTATCCTGAGTGCCCTTCAGCCTTCCATTTTCTCAGTCTTGGCCAATGGTGGGCAGATTGCTTGTTCACCTCCCTATTCCTCAAAGACCAGATCTCAAGGTGAGCACATAAAGGCACCTATCCCATTGTGAGGAGGACAAAAAGTGAGAGCATCAGGAAAGGGGGCCTTAGAAAAGAGGTCAGGTCAGCCTGATTCTGCATGGAATGTTAAGGGATCTCCAAGAAATCCCTGCAGAGACTTTAAGGAGAAGATGGCCTCTGATCACACAGAGAACTGCAACTTCTCAGCCTGAAGCCAGCCGTGATGGCCAACCTAGGTCCAATCTCAGCTCCTGGAAGAATGGGTATAGTTAGAAAGCAGAAGGTCATGCTGATAAAACACACACAAGAAATGGGTTTGCATGCCCGCTTTAGGACATCAAGTAAGAGAGCCAAGTTCCGGTTCTGGCTCTACCATTACTTTGCTCTGTTACTTATGACAATTTAGTACCTCTAGGTCCTGGTTTAGTGATAAATTGAAGAAAGTATTGTTTGACTCATATGGTGGGGCTGCTGGTGGGATACTACCCCTTAGTATAACCTGCATTATATTTCATCCCACACTGCAGTGATGAATTGCCACCTCCTCATACTAGAGAGTTTTCTGATAACCGTCTTGACACGAATGTACTACCGAAGGAAAGACCACAAGGTTGGGTATGAAGCTTTCTCTTCTCCAGACCTGGACTCAAACCTCAAAGCCTGAGGGAGATGACCTGAATAATGGAAAAGACACTGTACTCATTAGAGGAACACACGATTTCTTCACTGCCCCTCAACTTTGATCAAATAGGGAAGGATTCCTGTTGCCTAAACAAGGTGGCAGGTCATATATTTAACTACGGAGATGAAGGTATATTATGCAATACTATGAAAATGTTTGAATATTGCCCAGGGGACATACTTTTTAGGTTTTATAATAAATAAATAGAATGAAGTCTAAAATTCTGTAACTGAGTACATTGCCTCTGTGGGTGCCACTATTAGCCCTTAAGCTTACTTAAAAGTCGCTCAGCTTTCCCAAAGCAGATGAAAGGGAGGAGTACTTGGTACTGTGTCTGGTATACAAATAGCAGTAGTGCTTGACTAGGCAAAGCAGGAGCAGTTCAAAGTTTTAAAGAAGCCAGGCTTCTAGAGATTGGACAGAAGGTGTTCTTTCCTTTAACAGATGTGTCACTAGGGTAAGAATGACAACAAGCCTGGGAGGTCCGGAGTTTTCCTTTGTGGGTCAAAGGTTTTTTGAGTCTTCTATGCCAAACTGCAAACAGAATCACTTAATAAGATGATCATGAAGTTTCATTTTTGAAGAAAGAAATTAGCGTGCAAAAGCAAAGAATTGAGAGCATAAGTAAAAGCTCCAATATATAAAGTATATCATACACATGTATACCAAGTCAAAAACACAGGAAATAAAACATTTGGTAAACCCACATTGCCTTTATTTGGCTAAATGGCAAAAGCCAAAATAACTGAACAAATGGATAACACTCAGACAGGAAAATGATACACTGAACCCCAGATGAGGAAAACTCCTTGTGGACTCACATTGGTGTTGGGGTCATGCCAAGGCCAGCAGTTCTCTCCAAGACTCTTTTTTCTTTTCAGGATCCTTACTACAAAACAGCCAACCAATCAAGTTTCTGTGTTCAAAACAATGCCTCCCTAAGAAGGGTAAAGGCTCACTTCATACCTAAAGGCACACAACATGAGTCATCCTAATGTTCAACCTGGGACTCTTGTCTTCTACCATAATCCATGTACTAACATAAAACTTTGGCAGACAGAAAATTTTGCTTCTTTCTAAGAAAATGAATATTTAGTAGTATTATCCCAAGAACATGTTCTACTTATTTATTTGGAAAAATAGAAACTAGGAATCATTTTTTGCCCCATGACAATCTAGTCTAGGCAAGAACACAATAATAATCAATGTTATGACTTTGAAAAATATAACCTTTAAAAATACTTATATTGGTGAGCTTAAAAAAATACCACTATTTAAAAACATTGTCAAGGGTGCCTTTGTCTACCTATACATTGGCTCATCTTCTGGTGAATGTATGATGACATAAAATCCCAGAACGGTGGCTTTTAGGGAATTTTTTAAAAGCAGCATAATATAACTGATTTGGAAAGACTTTTAGACAAGGGATGTGGAACAGGATAAAAAGGCAATGACCTCCAGAAAATAAACTGCTCACAGGTCTAATCCAGAAACAGCAACAGAGTCCTAGAAAGAACCACTGTAGAAGCAGTGTCTAGAGCCTGACTGAGAAGCTATGTGTCTACAACCAAAACAAGTGTAGCTCAGGTGCTGCCCATGAAGTTATTAGTGATCATAAAGAGTCAAAAGTTTTCTCAACCTCTCTCACATTTCTTCTCTTCTTAAGGATTTTTCACCAATCTTCTGCAAAATAAGTCTCTGGCTCCAGCTATCAGAAGCAGCTGCAGTAGTACAAAGGATCCATTTCTATTCCTCCGAAGTTTTCACTTCTATTCTCAGTGTCCTTGAGCCTGCTGTATATAAAAAGGGAAAACTTCCTTCTTAGCCCACCTCAAGGTAACTGCTGAAGTGGTACCTCTCCAGCATCAGCTTCAGGGCTTCTGTCTTCAGCCTCCTTCAATCTCCAAGACAGAGGCTGTGAGGCCAAGAAACTTCCAAGGCTCTCTCATCTCTGCTAACCGCTCTCTTGTCAAGGATTCGGGGAAACAGCTCCACAACCACAAACATTAATATTTGGAGAATTACAGACCACAGGCACACTCATGGTGTACAGACCTCTAACTTCATTTAATTAGGCACAAATGATCAAACAATGCATCATTCCAAAAGCTTCCTCCATCCATCCACCACTGTCCAGCTCTTGGGATCACATTTACCCCGAAGTAGCTAACCTACCACACTATAAAAGATTTTGCTTTCAGTCAAAATTATCCAAAAATATACCAGTGTTGGAGACTAGGGCAGTAAGGGCTCACCAAAGGGGGCTAGGGAGTCTTTCAAGAACATGGGCATCAGCTGGCCCTAGAGGTCTCATAGACCGGGTCAGCATAGAAGTCCTAGTCCAAGTGGAGGGCATGCCGAGTGCACCCACTAGTGGAGGAGGAGGGTGCAAAGCTTTGGGATCCAGGCAGTGCACTCAAAAGGAGTGATTACATGGATTACACACCACATGATTACAGGGATTACATACACGTTCTAGGCAGCTCCCTTTCCATCCAAACACACTTGGGCAACATGTCCTCTTTGAGAGAACAGTAGGTGAGTTTCAGCAATAACTTTATTACCTTTTTATACTGCAGAGAATAAATTAGAAAGGAGCAGGCAGTATTCCCAAAGAGGGAAGACTGAAGCAGAAAAGCTCAATATAAGATCATATGAAGCTGCACGGTATGGGGAACATTAACTTCAAATGTTTCAAAGAAAGGATTCCAAATCTGACAGTAAAAATAGCATTCCCGAGAAGAGTAAGAAATGGCATTTTCGTGGGCCATCAGGACAAGAGGTTCCGCACTCTTGGTTCCTTTCCTCTGCCTCCCTGGGTCATCTGAGTTGAAGGACCTGAGTAGCCCTGCTGTGCAGGCAGTGACTGCAGCCTCTGGTGCTCAGGCAGAACAGCAGCTTTTACCAGAGTTCAGGGGAGGGATATGAGATGTTCAGGGAGGGGGCATGAGATGCTCACAGTTCTAGCAGAGGGGCAATAAAAATATGGCTTTCTTTGCTGAAAACACCAAAACTCTACCCCCACAAGGGGTCTTTATGAATGGAAGGGGGTGGGGGCCTGGGTCTAAGCAACTGTCCCCTTAATCCAGCTATAGGATTACTGATAGATGATGATGATGTACTAGTCATGTAGTCGAGGAGATAGGATGCTGGGGACTTAAAAATTAGACCACGCTCAACATCAAGTGTTAAGCATCAGCATTCTTCGATTTGGAATTCAAGTGCTGAATCCTCCCCTTGGGCAACAGGGAAGGTAGGACCATAACCAACAGGCACAGGGGAGACAGAGGGAGTGCACCTACTATACTCTTGCAATGTGAACCCATCCTTTGTGGCTTGCTGGAAGAGCACTGGACGGAAGGCCTTGCCAGTTGCAGCTCATAGAGGCAAAGACAGACTCCATGGAGCATGGTTCTAGTTAAGAATATTCCTAAGAGGGTACAGGTCAGGATAAGGCTGTTGAAGGGACGATGCTTCTTTTCGCTTTTGCCTTTATGTTCTGCGTAAATCCCCCTAAATATCAATATGGCTGTGAACAACACAAGTTAATAGATCTAGTTGAGTCCGAACTACAGACATTTACAAAGTATCCTCTGCAAAAAGGTGGCAATATCTTTAAGAGCAGCAAGGGCAGGGACTTACTTCCAGTAGGAAATGAATCTACATTAACTTCATATGGATTTGAGTATTGTCCCGCTTCCCTCCTCAATCACAGTAACCCTTAAAGTGTCCCTTCGTTTAAAGGTAGACTACAGGAAAGAGCTCCCAAATAACTGGGCAACAGAATTTTCTGAGAAGATGAACACAGCAAAAAAAACTGCAGTTGATGTCATGTGGTCTGGTTCCATCCCCATCAGTGTCTTCATGGACCCCATTGGGTCCAATAAGAAACTCCTCAGGGAGTAAGAGAGGTTAGGCTCTGATGTCCTTCTTCCTATGGTCACGCTGACACATGTGCCAGCTTACATTCAGGGATTTGTGACTATAATTCAGTTTTTAGTTGTTGCTCTTGTTGTTGCTTTAAGGAGACCAAAGTTATGTTATTTTCCCCACCTCTCCCCCAAATCACTCATTAGCATGGCTCATTGTTTGAAAGGCTTAGCAAGCCACTTTGCTTCAGAAGGCAAACACTACAGTGTATCAGGAAGAAAAGGCCTCTGGGTATTGTACCACTTCCTTCTTCTGCCCACTCGTCAGGGGCAAAAAATTAGTTCTACTTACTATATTTGAAAGACTAATTTTTAAAAAATTAATAAAAATGACAATTTCCCTGTCAAGATCACATGAACATAAAGAGTAAAGCAAAGTCCTTAGGGAGGGTGTATGGATGCAGAACAGGCTTCTAAGGTACAGACAGCCTCCTTCTTGGTGTGGGTGACTGATGCCTCTTGGAGGACAGGCTGATTTGGTTCCCCCATTCCTAGGTCCTCTTGCCCCAACTGTCTTTCCTTTGTAGCTGTCCTTGGGTTTAGTGTTGGTATCACAATGTGGAATTCAACAGAGAGCTTCTGAAGGTGATGGAACAGAGGGAGAGGAGAGGAAAGGAGGAATGAAAGCTTAGTCTTCTTCATCCTCACTGATATCACAGGCTGCAGCCTTGTGCCTGGAGAGAGTTGCTGGGGAGGAAGTTGGGGAAGTCTTCCCAGAGAAGGGCCATCGGAAAGAGGGGGAGGGGGAGCGTTCACGAGTAGGGCTGCTGCTGGGACTCTGCTTTGGGCTGATGGCCTGCAGCATCCGGCCTTTTCCCTCTTTCAGCATATGTTTCTGGGGAGACCAAAAGGAAGAGTTAGAAGAAACCTATGGATATTCCAAACCACCACTGCAGTATCTGAGACTTTAGATTATCATGAGTGCTCTCTGCAATGTTAAAAGTGATCAAATAAGCCAGAGGAGGGGCACAGCTATAATTCTATGCAATTTCCTTTAGGAAGTGGTCTACATATACCATTTACTCATGATTTTCTCCAACTGCTTATCCATAGTCACCAAATCCTTGACTTCTAAGTCAAAGGAATTTTCAGAAGGCTACTTAGTTTGTGGTCCAAATTCCAGTCAAACACAAAAGAACTAACTGAGACAAAGGCTACAGAACCCCCTTGTAGAGCTCTCTGAAAACTCCACATCTTCCTAAGCAAACTATTTTAGTAACCAAACACCCTCGCAGTCAGATCCTTCCTGACATCTAATTGAGGGTCCACTTGCTGAATTTTTTAAATTTGGCTTGAAAAGACTTTGCCACTCTTCAAGATTACAATTCCCACCTTTCCTAGGGATTCTGCAGTAGCTCTTTGTAGTGGAACAGCTTTCTTTTTCCTGTTCTTTATTCTTTCCGTTCTATCTAAAAATATAATGTAGAAGTAAACTAGGCAAGGCTACTTATCTTGTCATCAGATTTCCAGGTTGATGGGGAGCTGGCAAAAATTATTTAGGATAATGTGTAACCTTCTGAAAAGATTTTAAAGAACTTCTTGGGGAAGAGTTGAAACTTAGCTCTGCCCACATAAGGGGAATTGATTAGACAACTTCTTAATGTCAATGTCCCTTTCTGCTCAAGGATTTTATAATTCCTCCCACAGCACTGAAGTTTTCCAGATTATCCTGAAATTCCATAAGCTGTCTAGTGGGAAAGAACATACCAGTGCTCCTTCTGGACCAAACATTTCCAAGAAACTTCCAATGAATTCTCGGGACTTTTCCTCCCATTTTTGAATGAGGTCAATGCTTTTTTCCTCCACCTTCTGAACAAATTCTTTTGACTTTTCTTCCACGTCTTTCACCTTCTTCTTTACTTTATCAACCCGCTCCTGCAAGTGGTATTTCTTCTCCTAGGTAAAGAAATACTGTTTTGAGAAATAACCTTTTCTCCAAAGGAGAGAGAAAAAAATGGCTCAACATTCTATTGACACTTTTTTTAGTCTTTAGAATTTTGCTTTGCTTTAGTCTACTCCATACTTCTTTAGCACAATAGATAAGATATGCTCTGTTCAGTGATATTATACAAAAGTATGATAATTTTAATATTGTGTATGCTTGGTACCAAATTAAATCTACAGGGTAGGTCCAGTAATAGATAGGTCAATAGCAAATGATGTCAGACTTTTTAAAAATGAAACATAAATGTGGAATCTAAACACATCTGACTTGAATCAAACCTCATTCTATAAGGAGATACATAGAGAGCAACAAGATCACTGTGCAATACGTCAAGAATAAGCCAATTATAACAGACTGAAAGTGGAAGTACTCAATTTACTTAATGTTCTGGATTTTCCCCTTATATCAAATGCCTTATTCTATGATTTTAGATGAGTTGTATGTTTTATATTTTAGTATTTGGAGTTCTGCTCATTTGCAAAATAAAGATGATATTCTTCAATCCTATCAAGTTTCCTAAAGATAAGTGGAGATGGTATGGGGGCAGGGGGAACGTCTAGTCAAATGAAAAGTATTTTCATAATTTCCAGACCATAAAGAGTAAAGGGAATATATTTAGAATTTTTAAAAACCTGATTCTTATGGAAAAACGTATAATGATTCTGCAGGAGGTGAATTAACAACAGCTAGGATTTATCTGCATAGATATACCATATTCAAATGAAATTATTTCACCTACTCTCATAGCATAATTATACAGAAGATATGGTTAACAGCTTTCTTCTTTTTAAATAAACTTTACTGAGGTAAAAGTTACATATAAAATATATGGAATTTCTTTTTCTTTTTTTCTTTCTTTTTTTTTTTTTTTGTACAGGCAGAGTGGATAGTGAGAGAGAGAGAGAGAGAGAGAGAAAGGTCTTCCTTTTGCCATTGGTTCACCCTCCAATGGCCGCCACGGCCGGTGCACCGCGCTGATCCGAAGGCAGGAGCCAGGTGCTTCTCCTGGTCTCCCTTGGGGTGTAGGGCCCAAGCACTTGGGCCATCCTCCACTGCACTCCCTGGCCACAGCAGAGAGCTGGCCTGGAAGAGGGGCAACCGGGACAGAATCCGGCGCCCCGACCGGGACTAGAACCCGGTGTGCCGGCGCCGCTAGGTAGAGGATCAGCCTATTGAACCGCGGCGCCGGCAATATATGGAATTTCTAAAGGGTAATATTAAGCTACAATAAACTTAAGCTCTCAAAAATAAAATCTCAAAACTTGGGTCTACATGGGGAAATTACAAGCAAAATGTTGTGTCACTTTGCACACAGGGGGGGAGAATCCATAGGTTTCATCAGATCCTCAAAAGATCGTTCAGTCAAAAAAGGAAAGAAGTAAAGAACCATTGTTTAGAATGCTCTGATATAAATACCCTACTATAGAAGCAATACATTCTCATTTATTTAATTGGCTGTGTGTCCTTATACCAATATGTTGATACTAGACCATAAGGGCAGAAACTCCCTCTGCTTTATTCTTCATAAAGAGCTAAGCTTAGTGCTGCTTGCAAAGAGGCATTCATTAGCTTCTGGGAGTGATAACTATAACAGACTGAAAGGCAAGTTCATCTCAGAAGGAGTGGGAGACAACATGTGTCCCGTGGAATCAGGGAACTCTGAGGTGAGGGCAGGACTTACATTGATAAAGCTGACGTTGAGTTCCTTTGCTGTGTAGCCTCTCTGTAGGTTCCGTCTTGCATACACATCATAGTCACGGACAATTCGAGTGATGATGTCTGATGTGGAGATACCTTCAGTCCTCTGTGTTGGAGCAAACATGCCTAACTCAAGAACACAAACAAACACTGTGATATCCTGGTATGCTCAGGAAGTAGATGGAAACTGGAAGCAACATTCCTTCCCTCAAGAAGTAGAACTTGGGGCCAATGCTGTGTCTTAGCAGGTAAAACCACTGCCTGTAGTGCCAGCATCCCATATGGGCACTGGTTCGAATCCGAGCTGCTCTACTTCTGAACCAGCTCCCCGTTATAGCCTGGGAAAGCAGTGGAAGATGGCCCAAGTGCTTGCGCCCCTGCACCCACAGGGAAGACCTGGAAGAAGCTCCAGGCTCCTGGCTTTGGATTGGCCCAGCACCGGCTGTTGTGGCCACTTGGGGAGTGAACCAGTAGATGGAAGACCTCTCTCTCTCTCTGCCTCTGCAATTCTGCCTTTTGAATAGATAAATAAGTCTTAAAAAAAAAAAAAAAAAAAAAGAAGAAGAAGTACAACTTACTTGCTATTACTAAGTGAAGTATGGAGATGTTAACATTATAGAAGGAAGCTTGTATCAAAGGCTAAGGGAAGAATGGAGGTACACAGCCCTAATAATGAGAAAAACATGAAAACATGGGAGTAGGGAGGGTTTTCTGAAATTAAGAGAGATATTAAAACTAGATATTTAAACCAAGAATTGATGGGTGTCAGTGCTATGCTCATCTTTACCTTTTTTTTTTTTTTTTTTTTTTTGAAAGGCAGAGTGGACAGTGAGAGAGAGAGACAGAGAGAAAGGTCTTCCTTTGCCGTTGGTTCACCCTCCAATGGCCGCCGCGGCCGGCACGCTGCGGCCAGCACACCGTGCTGATCTGATGGCAGGAGCCAGGTACTTATCCTGGTCTCCCATGGGGTGCAGGGCCCAAGCACTTGGGCCATCCTCCACTGCACTCCCTGGCCACAGCAGAGAGCTGGCCTGGAAGAGGGGCAACCGGGACAGAATCCGGCATCCCGACCGGGACTAGAACCTGGTGTGCCGGCACCGCAAGGCGGAGGATTAGCCTAGTGAGCCGTGGCGCCAGCCTCATCTTTACCTTTAATACAAAGTATGACCTGAAAGAGGATGCTGAATTTCTCAGTATGCGTATTTTCTTCTAAAGTGCAACAATATGGTTGAATCTCTGTAGCTGCCTCTGAGACTTCATAAAAATGAGAATGCAGAGCGAGCATTGGGTATAGTGAGTGGAGCCGCTACCCATGACACCAGCATCACATATGGATGCCGGTTCGAGTCCTGGCTGTTCTACTTCTAATCCTGCTCCCTGCTGATGGCCTAGGAAAAACAGTAGATTATGATCCAAGTGTTTGGGCCCCTGCCACCCATGTAGGAGACCTGGATGAAGCTCCTGGCTTCAGCCTGGCCCAGTGCCAGTCATTGCAGTCATCTGGGGAATGAATCTGTGGATGGAAGATCTCTCTCTGTCTCTCTCTCTCTGTAACTCTGATTTTTAAAATAAATAAATAAATCTTTCTTTAAAAAAGTGAGAATAACATCATTTTACTCACCTGCCTCCTTGATGTGCTTATAAACATCATCACTCCCAGCAGAAGAATAAGGGATATCATCATGGGCTACAAAATCAATCTGAAAATAAGCAAACATCATTTAAAACCCAGAATAACTGTCATTCATAAAGACTCAGTGAATAGTCTCAAGCCTTGAAAAAAGACAATAAGCAGAGACTGGGCCTCAAATGAACTTTGTGTCTATATCTCTTTTCATTTTGCTTGTAAATTCCATGATCCATCACATACCACCCAACTCAATTATTTATAGGTTACAAATGTGAAGGTAATCAGTCTCTTTTCTAGCAATTCTCCTGGAAATACTACCCTCATTGTATTCTAATCACCAGGCTGTAGTCAACAGGGCTACAGGATCTGCTGGTGAGCTAGTTAGCGAGTGGAACCTTGGAAAGAAGGAAATCCCCTTATCCTCCTGGTAGATGAAGGATTGGTGAAAGAAGGGTTTTGCTGGCACAGCGGCTTAATAGGCTAATCCTCCACCTAGCAGCGCTGGCACACCGGGTTCTAGTCCCAGTTGGGGCGCTGGATTCTGTCCCGGTTGCCCCTCTTCCAGGCCAGCTCTCTGCTGTGGCCAGGGAGTGCAGTGGAGGATGGCACAAGTGCTTGGGCCCTGCACCCCATGGGAGACCAGGAGAAGCACCTGGCTCCTGCCTTCGGATCAGTGCGGTGTTCCGGCTGCAGCACGCCAGCCATGGCGGCCATTGGAGGGTGAACCAACGGCAAAAGGAAGACCTTTCTTTCTGTCTCTCTCTCTCACTATCCACTCTGCCTGTCAAAAAAAAAAAAAAAAAAAAAGAAGGGTTTCTAAAAGTATTTTAAAAAGTCACTTCTTAATAATTTTCTTTTCCAGTTTATAAGCAAAGAGGGAATTTAAAAATAGCAACCAAGAGAACTTCTACTGGAATTGGTACATTTATATTCTTGAGAAACTTAAAACTCAAAGCCACAAAAGATCTTTAGGTCTTATGTTCTATCATTTTACTACTGTCAACACTCTCTGCAAGAAGGAGAAGAAATTAAATGCACTGGGATCAGTAATCTTTTTAAGAGACATGCTAAATCTCACCTACTCCTTCTTGATTAGGTCATATGCCTTTGCACCATACACCCAACTCCCAGAAGGCACGGTAGTGTGAAGTGTGCTCACTGGGACTATGTCAGGGCCTCTCAGCTAATATCTCAATTACCCGTAACAATCTGTCAGGGATCCACAGGCAATAAAGCCAAGAGTAGGGGCATGCAAGACTCATGATTGAGTACTGCTAACAAGGGACAAAGGAAGTTGTTAGTTTCCCTAACCACATACTCTGCCTGGGCCTGCCGGGCTGTTGCTGAGAATTTTGCTCATCACCTTTGGTGCCACTGGCTATTAATTGTTGATACAGAAAAGCTAGGAACCATAAAAGGTATGTCCTATTCTTAAACAAATATAATAAATTTCCTCTAGCTTCAGGCCTATCTAAGTATTGCTTTAGAAGTGCTCTGGTTACCTTTTTTTTTTTTTTTTAAGATTTACTTATTTATTTGAAAGGTGCAGTTGGTGGGGGCGGTCTTTCATCTGCTGGTTCCCTCCCCAAATGGCTACAACAGCCAGGGCTGGGCCAGACTGAAACCAGAAGCCAGGAGCTTCATCTGGGGGTTTCCTACATGAGTAGCAGAGGCCCAGGGACCTGGGTCAGCTTCCACTGTTTTCCCAGGCACGTTTGTAGGGATCTGGATTGGAAGTGGGGCAGCTGGGACTTGAACCAGTACCGATAAGGGATGCTAGCACTGTAGGCTGTGGCTTAACCCACTATGCCACAGCCAGCCCCGACCACCTATATTCTTTCCTCACTGAACAATTCACAGGCAACATCCCACATATCCCTGTAGAGAACTGAAAGTGCTTGCTGGTTCCTCAAGCTTGAAGGCCTCCAATTTAGTTTGATAAATTCCTCCTATCTTTTAAGCCCACCTTTTGTAGGAAGCCTATTGCTTTAATGTGGAAGAATTCAAAGAAGAAAAAGAGTTCTATAATAATAACTCACTGAGTAAAGGTGGAAAATTTTCTTGATTTCTAATCCCATATAATTTCTAGCCCAAAAGCAAAGTCCTGAAACTAAATTTAAATCAAATAAGAGAAGTCTACATTAATATGTCTTGTTTCCTAGAATGTGCACTTCCTGAGGGCACAGCTGGGGCATGGATATTCTGAGATTGGCACAACAAGCCATAAAGATGAACACACCTACAGCGCCAGGGGAAACATCACAGAACTGAAGAGCTCGATTCCTAGCCCTGTTAATACTGGAGCAGGCTATTTGGTTTCTCTGGGCCTGTTCCTCATGTGCAAAGTGGGGACAATAACTACCCCCACAGACTTGTGGAGAACAAATGGATTACAAGGGATGTAAACATAAAGCCATATAAACATCAGGAGTTAACTACGCATGGTCGTAATATCCCTATTATCTCCTCTGTGAAACTTGAAGGTAGAAGCAATGAGGCCTTGAGAACTGAGGAGCTTCTGGAGCAAGCACTGGGGACATGTGCCGAGTTTCTTACCCTGTGTTCTGCCAGGAACTCGGGCGTCAGAGTCCAGGGGGCGTTCCTCACCACTTCATCCACATAGCGGCAGTGCTGCACTGCATCGTAGCGCTCATTTTCATTCATCACCGTGAAGCCTTTGAAGTTGTGCGTCAGCTCGTCACTGCAGACTGAGTTCACCACAAGAAGTTGAAGGTCCCCTTTGCTTAACCATCCTCATTCATCAACCTCTCCCTTGTTCTCCCACTTGCTAGGATTGCAACCTTCCTCTCCACTTGCAGAAAAACCTGGATGTAGCTCAGTCTGGGAACAATGCGTTTTGTAATTCAACACACACCTTCAGGAGCAACACTCACTGAACAGTGGGTTCACACTTCGTAGAAGAGAGGGTATAACAGAGGACCAAGATCTTTGACATGAGCCTGTAGTACATTTCTGAACACTTAAGTTTTTAAAAATGTTTTCCTACTTTAATAACAGTGGGCTGGGCCACATAGCATTTGCTTGACAGATTTTCATGCTTCAGTTGATTTGAAATGATAAACTGAAAGCTAGAACAAATGCTATTCTTAAGCAGGCAAAGGGGCCAGCTTACTCCCAGGTCATCAGTAACTCAGCTACAAATAGGGAGATAAATATTAACAGCTCAAGTTGATGAGCCTGGAGTTCCTCTCTCCCAGCTTAGGTTGCCAGTACTTCATATACTTCATGTTTCAGAGACTGTAACTACATTCTGCATTTAAAAACTGAAACAAGGGCCGAGGTACTTGGCGAGGAGGCAGGAGAGAACAAACGACTACTATAATCTTCTGGACAACACGTAAAGTCATCATATGTTTTCTTACCTCCCACAATGAGGTATGTATTAGGGAAAAGGTTCTTTGCTTGCATCAGAGCCCGGGCATGACCAGAGTGAAATAAGTCAAATATTCCATCTGCGTAAACCCTCACAGGCCGTTCACCTGAATCCAAATGGGAGAATTTGTAACAAAAATACATTTATTCAATGTTTCATGCTTGACACGTGAAAATGGCACAGTATGACCATTCTATAGCTGCATCTCCCTCTCTCAAGGTGTCTCCTGGGCATTTGCCTACTTCTGGGGGTGGGGCAGAGCTGTGAGCTTCCTGCACCACAGATGCCTTCCTCACTTCATCTCCACCAACTCTCTTTATTGTATGAAACTTCTCAGGTGCAAAAACAAAATGTGATCGCTTTCACTTACAAGTGAAAGGGAAGAGTAAGTCCTAAACTTCAAAATGCCATTGAAATATATATAATACATATTACATAATTATAATTATATAATATATAGAGATATGTTTTTATATATTATAATAATTATATATAATATATAATAATTATATATGAATATATATAATATATAATATATAATAATTATATATAAATATATTTATATATGTTATGTATTATATATATTAAATATATAAATATATATATTTAAAGGGATTTAGTTATTTATTTGAAATATAAATATATTTTATATAGAGAAGAAGAGAGAGAGAGAGGTTTTCCATCTGCTGCTTCACTCCCCAATTAGCCACAATGGCTAATTGGCTAATGGCTAAATCTTCACCTTCAGTTTATAATTATAATTATGTAAAAGTATTATATATATTTCAATGGAGTAAAGTTTGTAGAAAAATGGAATTTAGAGCTAAATTTACTTTGTTGAAAAATTTTGAAAGCGATGAGTAATTTTTTTATAATATACATTTCGGGGCTGGCGCTATAGTGTAGTGGGTAAAGCCACCACCTGCAGTGCCAGCATCCCAAATGGGTGCTGGTTCGTGTCCTGGCTGCTCCACTTCTGATCCAGCTCTCTGCTATGGCCTGGAAAAGCAGTAGAAGATGACCCATGTCCTTGGGACATGCACCCGTGTGGGAGACCCAGAAGAAGTTCCTGGCTCCTGGCTTCAGATCAGCTCAACTCCAGCCATTGTGGCTAACTGGGGAGTGAACCAGCAGATGGAAAACCTCTCTCTCTCTCTGCTTCTTCTTCTCTCTGTGTGGTTCTAACTTTCAAATAAATAACTAAATCCTTAAATATATATATTTATATATAAATATATATATATTATATATATATTTCAATGGCATTTTTGAAGACCTCTTGTACACATGCATTTCCAAAAAATTTTGCACCAAAATAAACTGATTTTTTTAGGTATTTATTTATTTGAAAGACAGAGTGACAAAGACTGAGGAAGACATGAATAAAGAAATATTTCATCCTCTGGTTCACTCCCCAAATGGCCCAACAGCCAGGCAGGGGCCAGGCTGAAGCTGACTGATACAATGAGGGAAGATTATAAGGAAATTTTGAAGGCTATGAAAAATATGACACTAGGGGTCAGTGCTGTGGAACAGTGGGTTAAGCCTACACCTGTAGTGCCAGTATCCCATATGGGCGCTGGTTCAAGTCCTGGCTGTTCCACTTCCATTCCAGCTCCCTGCTAATGCACCTGGGAATGCAGCAGAAGATGGCTCAAGTAGTTGGGCCCCTGCACTCAATTGGGAGACCTGGAAGAAGATCCAGCCTCCTGCCTTCAACCTACCCAGCCCCGGCTGTTGTGGCCATTTGGGTAGTGAACCAACAGATGGAAACTTGCTCACTCTCTCTCTCTCTCTCTATGTCTCTGCATTTCAAATAAATAAATAAATCTTTAAAAAAGATTAATAAATATGACACCTGACATATTATTCAGATCTTTACAAAAATAGACAGGATCACAACCCAACTCAGGCTAACATCTTATTTCTGCTTCCGTATATCTCAGAGCTGTAACAATGGCCCAGGAAGCAAGTATCTACTGCATCTATTTCATAGTTGTGACAGTAGTTTGGGAAATTGTATAATAAAAAGAAAAAAATCAAATTTTATAGAATGAATTTACCCTCCTAAATAGAATATCAGGCAAATGGCAATAATTACTTCTCTACTGGACTTACAACTAAGCTGAGAATAAAAGTGTATTTTATAAATACAGTGGAATGCTAAAAACAATAGTAAAGCAACACAATAAGTAGGTATTTACTTACAAGGAGTTCCTCTACTTGCTTCTTCCATAGTTACCCTGACATAGGGTTTACTAAAGTCAACTTCAATTTCATCAGAAAAAGGAGCTGGCTGCCGTAAGCCCTTAAGAAGAAGAAAGTAAAGAGAAAAAATGTTAAACAGACCAACAAAGGTTTTTCTTAGGAATGCAAGATTAGTTTATCATTGTAAAATCAATTTATGTACACACTAAATACACTCAAATTAATAAAGCATTCGCACTAAACTAGGGTCTTTTTGCTTTTTTTAAACAAAGTATGTCATTATACAAATTAAAAGAGGGGCTGGTACTGTGGCATAGTGGGTAAAGCCACTGCCTGCAGTGCTGGCATCCCATTTGGGCACCGGTTCAAGTCCCAGCTGCTCCACTTCTGATCCAGCTCTCCGATGGCCTCGGAAAGCAGTAGAGGCAGTAGAAGATGGCCCAAGTGTTTGGGCCCCTGCATCCGCACGGGAGACCTGGAAGAAGCTCCTGGCTCCTGGCTTCGGATCAGCACAGCTCCAGCCGTCGCAGCCATCTGGGGAGTGAACCAGTGCATGGAAGAGTTCTCTCTCTTTGCCTCTGCCTCTCTATAACTCTGCCTTTAAAATAAATAAATAAATCTTTAAAAAAAAGAAAAAGAAAAAGAAGAAAGGAAGGAGAAGAGAGGGTAGGGGTGAGGGAGGGAGAGAGGATAGGGTAGGAAATATCATTATGTTCTTAAACCTGTACATACAAAATTTGTTCCCTTTATATAAATTTAAAAATTGGGGGAGGAAAGGAAAAGCAAAATATATTTTTTTAAAAAGATGCAGAAAAAGAATTTATGCCAACAGTGTTGTGGTACAACAGGGTAAACCACTGTTTGTGACACTGGCATTTCAGATAGGAGTGCCAGTTGGAGCCTCAGCTAGTCCATTTCCAGTCCAGTTTCCTGCTCATGTGTCTGGGAAGGCAGCAGATGATATCCCAAGTGCTTATTTCTCTGCCACCCATGGGGGAAATTAAGATGGAGCTTCTGGCTCCTGGCTTCAGCCTGGCCAAACCCTGTCTGTAGTAGCCACTTGGGGAATGAAACAGCAGATGGAAGATCAATCTCTCTTTTCCTCTTTCTCTCTGTCTCTCCATCGCTCTCTGATGCTTTTTCTTAAAAAAAGATTTATTGTATTTATTTGAAAGACAGAGTTACAAAGAGAGGTAGAGACAGAGAGAAAGGTCTTGCATCCGCTGGTTCACTCCTCAGATAGCCTCAACAGCTGGAGCTGCACCGATCCGAAGGCAGGAGCAGGAGCTTCCTCTGGATTTCCCACGTGGGTGCAGGGGCCCAAGCATTTGGACCATCCTCCACTGCTATCCCAGGCCATAGCAGAGAGCTGGATCAGAAGAGGAGTGGCTGGGATTAGAACTGGTGCCCACATGGGATGCCGGCGCTTCAGGCCAGGGCATTAACCCACTGCGCCACAGAGCTGGCCCCTCTGATGCTCTTTCAATTAAATAGATAACTCTTAAAAAAGGAAAAAGAATATATAAAACCCAACATCCATTCATTATAACAAGCCAGCAAAATGCACAAAGAAGGGAGATTCCTCAATCCAGTAAAGGGCATCTATCAAGAACCGATGGCCACCATGCTACTTAATGATAAAAGATTGTGTATTTTCCCCCAAGACTAGGAACAAGGCAAGTATATTTGTCCATGTCACTTCTTTGTTTTGTAAAAGTTTTATGTGTATGAAAGGTAGACAGAGAGAGGCAGACAGAGAGAGAGACAGACAGACAGAGCAGTGATCTTCTATTTGCTGGTTAACTGCTTAAATGCTCACAACAGCCAAGGCTAGGTCAGATCCAAGCCAGGAGCTAGGAACTCAATCCGAGTCTCTCACATAGATGGCAGGGACTCGAGTACTGGAGCCCCACAGGTTTTGCATTGGCAAGAAGCTGGAATCAGGAGTGGTGTGGGATTCAAATCCAAGCACACCGATATGGGGTGCAGGCATGCCAAACAGCATTTTAACTGCCAGGCCAAAAGCCCACCCCAAATTCATTTTTTGTGTGTGTGGGTGGTGTTTGTGATCTTTTAAAAAAAAAAGTGTTCCAAAGAAAGATCACAAGAGACCACATATGCCCAAATATGTAATTTTTGAAGTTAGTAGGGATTTCCAAATATTTACATTAGAGAAAACTGTATTCTCTAGAGCAGAAGTGGGGAAACTTTTTTTCTGCTTGGGTCATTTGGATATTTATAACATTATTTGCAGGCCACATACAATTATCATCTTAAAATTGGCCTGCTATAGATTTATTGAATTTCAAGTCCTGCCACTGGTTGCCTTGGCAGGAGGAGATCCAGTGATTTCACAGCCCTATATGGCCCGTAGGCCAGATGTTCCCCATCCTCCATTAGAGGTTAATACACACAGATGCTCAACATTAATCTGTGTTTCTAAAGATATATGCTACTTGCAAAATAATATATATTCTTCCATTTATATAAAGGTCAAAAATAGGAGAAACTACTTTGTTGTGTATAAACCAGAAAAAAAGAAGAAATTTGAGCAAAGAGGATAATGACTAGCAGGGGGCAGTGAGGAAGCCTTCTGGGGATACTGGCAATCACACACACATTTACATATGTAAGTATTTATTAGAGGCTTGTGTATTATTAAGATTTATGTTCTTTACTGTAATAAATTAAACCTCAAAAAACAAGATATTCAGCAATAGAAAGGAATGAAGTAGTAGATGAACCTTGAAAACATTATGCTAAGTGAAAGAAACTAGTTACAAAAAAATCACATATTATATGATTCCATTTATATATAATATTCAGAATAGACAAATTAACAAACAGAAAGCATATTAGTGGCCATCTTAGACAGGAAGTGTTGAGAGAAACGAGGGGTAAATGTTAATGGGTATGGAGTTTCTCTTTGGGGTGATGAAAATGCTTTACAATGGATTCTAATTATGGTTGCAAAAATCTGTGAATATATTACAAGCCACTGAATTACATGCACTTCTTTAACTGGATATGTGAATTACAATGTTATATGAATTATATCTCACAAGGCTCATATATATGAGACAAATAGAATTATGCTTCTTAACAGTAGTACATGTGGATTAAAAGATCAGCTCTGGGACAGGCACTGTGGCCTAGTGGGTAAAGCCGCCACCTGCGGTGCCAGCATCCCATATGGGCACCAATTTAAGTCCTGGCTGCTCTACTTCCAATTCAGCTCTTTGCTATGGCCTGCGAAAGCAGTGGAAGATGGCCCAAGTCCTTGGGCCCCTACACCAATGTGGGAGACCCAGAAGAAATTCCTGGCTCCTGGCCATTACAGCCATTTGGGGAGTGAACCAGTGGACGGAAGACCCCCAACCCCACTTCTGCCTCTCTGTAACTCTGCTTTTCAAATAATAAATAAATAAATAAATCCTAAAAAAAAAAAAAAAAAGCAGTCAAGGAATTTGTGGAATGGTTATTGAATCATTGGTAGCTTGGAATCAGTCACAGAAATCAGCAAATGGTACAAATCAGAGGTTTTCCCCACAGGGAACCACTTTACCAGGACACTACTGGTTAGTCTGCATACTTAGAGATCAGATCACAGGGAGGGGGAAACAGGCACACATTTTTCTAGTGATGTTTCAGTGAGAGTAGAAAGGATGAAAGAGAAAAGATTTTATGAAGGAAGAATAGGTAGGATATGGTAAAAAGAAAATCATGTTTTCACTTAAGAAAGAAGCTTACAATAACAGTTTTTAAACTAAGGAAAATATCACGAGCAGGAGTAGAGAAGTTAAAAACAAAAGAGTTGATTCCTAGATAACAAATTTATCTTGAGTTTGAGATAATAGCAGAACATCAAAGAAATATCAAAAAGACAGGGGCTGTTGCTGTGGTATAGTGGGGTAAGCCTCCACCTGCAGTGTTGGCATCCCATATAGTCGCTGGTTTGAGACCTGGATGCTCCTCTTCTGATCCAGCTCCCTGCTAATGCACCTGGGGAAGCAGTAGCAGATGGCCCAAGAGCTTGGGCCCCTGCACCCATGTGGAAGATCTGGATGGAGTTCCAGGCTCCTGGCTTTGGCCTGGCCCATCTCTGGCTGTTGCAGTCTGGCTGTTCACTCTCTGAATGAGTGAACAAAACAATGGAATCTCTCTCTCTCTCTCTGCCCCTGCCCTTCTATAACTCTGCCTTTCAAATTAATAAATAAAATCCTTTTTAAAAAAGATATTATTTATTTATTTGAGAGGTAGAATTACAGACAATGAGAGGGAGAGACAGAGAGAAAGGTCCTCCATTTGCTGGTTCACTCCCTAAATGGCTGGAGCTGGGCCGACCTGAAGCCCAGGACCTTCCTCTGGGTCTCCCACGTGGGTGCAGGGGCCCAAGCACCTGGGCCATTCTCTACTGCTTTCCTAGGCCAAGCAGAGAGCTGGAATGGAAGAGGAGCAGCTGAGACTAGAACTGGTGCCCATATGGGATGCCGGCACCGCAGGCAAAGGATTAACCTACTGTGTCATAGCCCCAGCCCTGATAAATAAATCTTAAAAAAAATCAAAGAAGATTTAGAAATAGGAAGTACAGGTGTAAAGTGGAGATGGAAGACAAGTTCACTTAGCAGATTCTTCTCCTCACTATGGTTGTTCCAGTCTTCCGAGTGAGTGAATCTGACCATAAACCTACGCTAAATAGGCAGCATGTACCAGGGAGGAATGTGGAACACGGTGCAAGTCACTTTCTGATTTTACAGGAACATGTGAAGCTAAGTAATTTAAAATGTTTAAATTCTTTATGCACTAAGGGCCAAGAAATTTAAGTTTTCCTCAGAGCTCATTCCTTTATCTGTTTCTGACTATGGGGATTGTTCAAGAGTATCACCTCTTTGGTTATAACTTGTCCCTATGCCATGTAATAGTGTTGAACTGGAGCCCCTCACCACCTCTAATCTGATTCTCTAAGAAACATTTAAAAATTAACAAAGCTCTGTTTTGTTAACTGCAAGCCATTTTCTGAGCTTACTTGCTTTGGTATGTAGAATACTGGTTCCCTACAGACGTCACATCCTATTCTATGTAACCTGCGATCATCTTACCATACATGGCAAAAGGAGCTTTGCAGATGTGATTATATGAAAGGCTTTGAGAAAGCGGATTATCCAAGAGCCCAATGTAATCACACAAGTTCTTACAAGTGAAAAGGGAAGGAAAAAGAGTCAGAATCAGAGAAGATATGATGACAGAAACAGTGGTCAGAGAGGTATAATCACTGGCTTATATGGTAAGATAAGCAACATGGGTAGCCTGCAAAAACTGAAAAAAGCAAAGAAATGGCAACACTTTGATCTTAGCCCTTAAAACCTATTTCAGCCTTCTGAGCACCAGAACAGTAAGATGACACATTTGTGTTATTTTCTTTATACATTTTATTTTTTACATTTATTAATTTATTTTCATCTACTTGAAAAGCAGAGTGGAAGAGGGGGGTGGGAGATCTTCCACCCACTGGAGCACTCCACAAATGCCCACAACAGCCAGCGCTGGGCCATGCCAAAGCCAGGAACCTGAAACTCAGTCTGGGTTTCCCACATAGTTGGCAGGGCACCAAGTACTCCAGTCATCATCTGTTGCCTCTGGTATGCATTAGTAGGAACCTGGATCAGAAGCATAGTTAGGACTTGAACCAGCATTCCATTATGAGATGCAGGTCACCCAAATGGCAGCTTAACCTGCTGTACCATAACGCCTAAACCTCTAAACGCTGGGTAATTTGTTTCAGCAGCAATAGAAAATGACACATTTGCCTCTATCAGTATTATCAATATCAGGCCTGGAAGCATATGCCTCGAATCTGGTAAGTTCAGGTGCTTTTACTGCTCACAACAAATGATTAGTTTGGAACAACTGTTAACTTTCTCAGAGTATAAACATTTTCCCTTTGGCCTGGGAAGCCTCAGCACTAACCAGTGGAAACTGAAGTTTGATAATGGCTAATGGTCAGTATAGGTAGAGAAAACACGGAAACATTCTGTCACTGGAATTTTGAAACAGAGATTTCATAATAATGTTGTATATCAGAAGTAACTTCAGTTTTATCTAAATGTTCTTTGATATGTATTTTAGGGAAGCTTTAAGAAGGATATCAATGGGGCCAGAGCTGTGGCATAGTTGGTTAGGCTTCCACCTGTGGCGCTGGCATCCCATATAGATGCCAGTTTATGTCCTGGATGCTCCTCTTCCAATCCAGCTCTCTGTGTATGGCCTGGGAAAGCAGCAGAATATGGCCCAAGTGCTTGGGCTCCTCCACCCACATGGGAGACCCTCCTGGCTCCTGGCTTCAGATCGGCTCAGCTCTGGCTGTTGCAGCCATTTGGGGAATCAACCAGCAGCTGGAAGACTTTTTTTTTTTCTCTCTCTAACTTAACAACAACAACAAAAAAAGAATAAGAGGAGGAAGAAGAAAAATACCAAGTAGAGAGAGGATAGGCAGTTTGGAATGAGGTCTTTCACCTAATGCATAGCAGTAGTTAGAAAATAAGAAAATAATGTTCCAGAGATAAAGTAGGCAGTAATGGAAAAAGGTTCTCATCCATAACATGACCAGCAATAGAGTAGAGGAATGATATGGGGAGACAAGACAGTAAGATACAGAATTCTAGACAAGAGGAAATACCAAGATTAAAGCATTGTCTGGCAGGAAGCTGGAGTTGGAAGCAGAGCCAGGACTTGAACCCAGGCTCTCTGATATAGGATGGAGTCCAATTTCTCTATTTCATTAATTTGAATCTGATCTTTGGCCTAACACACACACAACTTCCAAACTTCATTCTTTTTTTCCAGTTCCAATGTAAAGCTCCTAAAACTAAGAAGTGAATCATAATAGGATTTCCAACAACAGGTAAAATACAATTACTACTCATACTTCCCATTTTTCCATTATTTAAAAAAGGCTTATAACACTGTAATCATCAATGGTATATCAATTCTTCCCCTCTCCCTGCCAGACTAACTGTTCAACAAAGAATTCTTTACTTACAACAGCACAGCGTTGCACTTTTGAAGGAATTCCATCTTCCTCTGTTGCCCCATTGGGTCCAGGTGCCTCTTTCCTCCTCTTCCTTGCATTGATTTTGGCTGAACTCTGTGCATCCATTTTCTTTTAACTGGCCACAGAAAGTGAAAAATAATTTCTTTTCTCATTGGGGTGGGAAAAAGTGTATACCAGTATTCATTGACAAAATATACTCAACAAAGCATTACTTCCATAACACACATTAAACTAAGATGGGCCAATGGTATTTTGCAAAAACCACAAAGCTTCACAAAACACACAGGGTAGAAACATCAGAATGCCTCTTAGTGGGAACAATAGCTACAATTAATTGCCTGACCTTGAAAGCTATTCCACCTTTTTTTTTTTTTTTTTAAGATTTGATTTATTCATTTGAGAGGCAGAGTTACAGACAGGGAGATAGAAAAAGAAAGTTTTCCATCCACTGGTTCACTCCCCAAGTGGCCACAATGGCAGAGCTGGGCCAATCCAAAGCCAGGAGCCAGGAGCCTCTTCCGGGTCTCCCTTGTGGGTGAACGGGCCTAAGCACTTGGGCCATCTTCCACTGCTTTCCCAGGCCATAAGTAGAGATGGATTGAAAAGGAACAGTTGGGACTCAAACCAGTGCCATAAGGGATGCTGGTGCTGCAAGCAGAGGCTTAGCCTACTATGCCTCAGTGCCAGCCCCACAACCTATATTCTAACTGCTGATGTCACATCTTGACTCTGAAAAATATTAGAACAAACTGACTGATAGAAAAAAAGTTATATAGGTTGAATATCCCCTAATAGAAATACTTGGGACCAGAAATGTCAGATTTCAGAGTTTTTCAGATTGTGGAATATTTGCAAAGACTTTATTGGTTGAACATCCTTAACCCAAAAATTTAAAATCCAAAATGTTCCAAAATTCAAAACCTTTTGATAAGATTAGGGATATTCAACCTGTACAGACTTCACCACTAACCCTTACCTATCCTCTGGGATACCTAGAGGGATGGCTGGTCTAAAGCAATTGAAAGGCATGAGTTTGGGGACCAGCACAGTGCAGTGCTGTAGAAGCTACCATCTGCAGTGCTATCATCCTATATCGGCACTGGTTCGAGTCCTGGCTACTCCACTTCCAATCCAGCTCCCCGCTAATGCTCCTGGGAAAGCAGTGGAAGATGGCCCAAGTACTTGGGCCCCTGCACCCATGTGGGAGACCCAGAAAAAGCTCTTGGCTCCTGTCTTCAGATTGGCCCAGTTCCAGCTGTTGTGGCCATTTGGGGAATGAACCAGCAGATGGAAGTGCTCTCTGTCTCTCTGTAGCTCTGCTTTTCAAATAAATAAATAAATACATCTTAAAAGAAAGGAAGGAAGGTAGGTAAGTAGGTACGTATGACTTGGTACAGATAGAAAAAAGAGCCTGTTTTAAAGTGATGCGTATCAACAAGTCCAGGTTTACCAAAGTATGGCTTTCTTAACTGTAAACACCCTGGAAATTTCAGACTCTACTCCACTAGGGTGAGCTGTATGAAAACTGTGGAGCAGCACAGTGCATCTTTTAAATGTCTTTCCCTTTCCTCTTTCAGGGGCTTAGCACCTCGAATTTATTCAGATTCCTCAGCTATTAAAATTCTACTCAGGCTTCTCCTTCCCCTACTGGAAAATTTGTCTTGACCATTTCATTTAGCAGATAGCTTCCAGCAACTATCACAGAAAAATTCTGAATATCCAATATTTTATGTGTAGACATTGGCTTGTGCTACTTCTCCCATCCCTATAGGGATATCTGCATTATTCTTTGGTAACACAATTTGTACAATTAAATTAATTTATAAACAATGATGCAATTTAAATATTAGCCAGAAATTGTGGGTAGAGGAAGCTCTGTGATCAAAAGCCATCTTTAAGATACGGTCCAGTGCACAGGTAGAAAACAAATGCCAGACAAAATGAGGACGTGCTACTCTGCCTCACTGCTTCTGATAAGCCCTCCTGAATGACAGGTTTATCCAAACAACTGCAATTGTGCCTTACTTTCTTTCCTCCAGCTAAATTCCAAATGGCAACATGACAAGACCACAGAAAAATAAAATGGAAGGAGGGTACTATCCATTTAACACTAAGTTCTAGCTCATCCAGTAACGATGATTAGAGCTTTTCCTTACTACTATCATTGATTCTTTTAAAATATCCAGAGGTCAGTACTCCCATCTCAGAAGTCTAAGAGATCTGCTAGGAATGTCTAATCAGTCCAATTAGTGAGAGCTTCTAATTTGCATAGAGTAGGACTGCTCTAAGTATCCATTCATTTCTTCTCAGGATAGGAATATGAAAAAAAAAAACATTTTCAGATATAAAATCAGCAATTTGGCATCGGACAAATCAAGATCAGAGAGTCAATTATATGAGTACTTACTGTGCACAAAGGAGTATAACATAATTTTTAAGTACAAACTGAATCTGGAGAACATTATGCTAAGTGAAACAAGCCAGCACAGAAAGATAAACATGGCAGATCTTACTTCTATGGAGACTCTAAAAAAGCTAAACTCCCAGAAGCAGACATTAAAATGATGGTTACCAAAGGCAGGGGAAGAAGACTGGGTGAGGGAAGGAGAGATGCTGATCAAAGGGTACAAAGTTTCAGTTAGACAAAGGAGTACATTCTAGTGATCACAGAATGGAAACTATAATGACTAATAATGTACTATACATTTTTTTTTTTTTTGACAGGCAGAGTGGACAGTGAGAGAGAGACAGAGAGACAGGTCTTCCTTTTCCGTGGTTTACCCCTCAATGGCCGCTGTGGCAGGCACGCTGCAGCCGTTGCACCGCACTGATCCGAAGCCAGGAGCCAGGTGCTTCCTCCTGGTCTCCCATTGCGGGTACTTGGCCATCCTCCACTGCACTCCCGGGCCACAGCAGAGAGCTGGACTGGAAGAGGAGCAACCGGGACAGAATCTGGCGCCCCGACTGGGACTAGAACCCGGGATGCCGGCGCCACAGGCGGAGGATTAGCCTATTGAGCCGCAGCGCCGGCCTATACTATACATTTCCAAATTGCTATAAGAGTATATCTTTAATGTTTTCACTACAAAAACTAAATGTGCAAGGTGACAGCTTTGCTTAGTTTGATTTAATCACTTCACAATGTAAGCATATATAGAAAACATTACATTGTACCTGATAAATATATAGAATTTCTATTTGTCAATTAAAAATAAAGTAACAAACTATTTTCACAAAGAACCTTCACTCAAGGCCAGGAAACTAGCCACAGAGTTCCTCCCCACACACAGGAAAAAATGCTATATGCTAATGATATAAAAATACTTGCATTCTAAATCCACTGGACAAAAGTCTGCTGAGGTAAGAAATATTTATATAGTCTCAAAGTATCTCCCCATAAATTATATAGTAATTAAAAAGGGAAGTGAGTTCCTTTGATAATAATATAATAAGCAGTGAGGACACAACATTATGTGCCAAAAATATGTGATCTGCATTGATTTATGAAGAAACAAGCAGACAAATCCAAACTAACAGACATTCTACAACAAGCCCATATTCTTTAAAATATGTCAATCACAAAAAAACAATGAAAGGTCAAAGTCCGTTACAAGTTAAAAGGGACTAAAGAAGGGCCAGCGCTATGGCACAGTGGGTAAAGCTGCCACCTGCAGTGCCAGCATCCCATATGGGCACTGGTTCGAGACCTGGCTGCTACACTTCCAATCCAGCTCTCTGCTATGTTCTGGGAAAGCAGTGGAAGATGGTCCAAGTCCTTGGGCCCCTGCACCCAAATGGGAGACTGGAAGATGCTCCTGGCTTCAAATTGGCACAGCTCCAGACGTTGCGGCCATCTGGGGAGTGAACCAGCAGATGGAAGACCTCTCTCTCTCTGTGTGTAACTCTGACTTTAAATAAACAAAAAAAATTTTTTTTTTGACAGGCAGAGTGGATAGTGAGAGAGAGAGACAGAGAGAAAGGTCTTCCTTTTGCCGTTGGTTCACCCTCCAATGGCCGCCGCGGCCAGTGCGCTGCGGCTGGCGCACCGCGCTGATCCAAAGGCAGGAGCCAGGTGCTTCTCCTGGTCTCCCATGGGGTGCAGGGCCCAAGCACTTGGGCCATCCTCCACTGCACTCCCTGGCCACAGCAGAGAGCTGGTCTGGAAGAGGGGCAACCTGGAAAGAATCCGGCGCCCCGACCGGGACTAGAACCCGGTGTGCCAGCGCCGCTAGGTGGAGGATTAGCCTATTGAGCCTCGGCGCCAGCCACAAATCTTTTTTTAAAAGGGAGGGACTAAAGTGATGACATCTATATGTAATATATGATTCATGATTTAGAAGAAATCATTATAAAAGATAGCTATGAGGACAAACAGCAACATTTGAAGATGGACTGTGTATCAGATAATATGCATCAATATTAAACTTCCTGAATTTCATAATTATACTGTGTTATACAAAAGACTGCTCTTGTTTATAGGAGATAAATGCTGAAGTATCTAGGGACAAAGGGTCATGATCATTGCAGCTTACTCTCAGGAAAAAAGAAAAGGAAAATAGATATATGCCATAAAAAAGGTAAAGGAAATGCAGCAAAATGCTATCAACATATGAATCTAGGTGGGGCATAAGGAAATTTATCTTAACACTCTGGCAAGTTTCTATAGGCTTTAGTTCTTAAATTGTTTTTCAAAATAAAAGTTAATTGCAAGAATACTCGTAACATTTTCTTATATAGGTAGGCCCTCACGTAAGACTGTCTCTTTAGGTCCCTAGAAACAGACTACCTGCCCTCATCTTTGAATCAGTGCACATGCATTTATCCCAAGAAGTATGTTTTGATAATCTAAGAGTCTTGCAAGGAGGTAAGATTATAACAGCAACAGTTCTAACAACAGCTCTCCTTCTTCTGAATGTTTACCATATGCCAGGCAACACAGTAGGCATTTTATGTGCACGTCATTTAACCCTTATAACTTGAGAAACAGGTATTACTAGCCCAAGTGAAAAATGAGAAAATTAAGGATCAGGTAAGTTAAGCAACATACCCAAGAGAAGACACAGCTAGCTAGTAAGTGGGAGAGGCAGGATTTAAATCTAGACTTGTCTG